GTTGAATTATGTTGTGTCCTCTGTTTAAGAAGCCAGGGAAGTGAATAATGCATTTTTAAGAGATTTCCATCACAAATTATTAAAATCAAGAGCTTTGACACTTAAAGGTGTAAAGTGGCACAGCCCAGGCCTCAGTAATGTTGAATAAATGAGGTGTCCCTGGTACTAAGCAATGTAGCAGAAAGCCTACTTTGGTGCAAAGAGCACTATATTTGGAGCTAAAAGACCCTGCCAAATTCCAGTCCTGGCTTGGCCACTAAGTTATTTTGTATCTGTAGGCAAGTATTTCCCTTCTCTGGCCCTCAGTTTCCAACCCTACAAAAGGAGAAAGGGTAGAACTAGATCATCTCCGAAGTCCATTGTGCCCTTCCTAAAGGGCCTTACCTTCCAGTGAGCTGTCCATGGTAATAAGGGGAAAGTATATCACAGAAGATAAAAGTTCACAGCTAATTCTAGTTAATTCTAGTTAAGAGCTTCAACATCCTCATCCCACATAGTCTCTTACCAGGATTGTTTGCACATTTTAAAATTCACTGATTTGAGTTTCACTTTCTTGCTGTCTCTCATTGCTCTCTGATGGAGATGCTGAAAGGAGTCAGTAATCAGCTCTGAAGCTGCTAACAATGAAGCTGGTAACAGTAAGCGGGTGGCAAATGATCATGAGTTAAAAAGCATAAATTTGTAGTTGGAAAAGAATTTAGAGGGGGCAGCTAGGTGGCACAGTGGATAGAGCACCGGCCCTGAAGTCAGGAGGACCTGAGTTCAAATCTGACCTCAGACCAAATACTTGACACTTACTAGCTGTGTGACCCTAGGCAAGTCACTTAACCCCAATTGCCTAAAATTTGAAGGAAAAAAAAGAGTTTAGAGATCATCTACTCAATACCTTTATTTTCCAGATGAGGTGACTGAAACCCAGAAAGGTTATGTTTTACCCAAGCTAGTCAATGGCTGAGGAAGGATTCTCTGATTCCAGTATATCGTATTGTCTTTCTCAGTTACAGAACAGAGGATCGTAGTTCTAGAGTTGAAAGGGACTTCAGAGGCCATCTAGCTTTCTTTCCCTCATTTTACAAATGAGGAAACTGAGGCCCAAGAAAGTTAACTGACTTACCTAAGGTCATACATGTAGTAAATATCGGAGGAAAAATTTGAACCTAGTTCCTCTGATTACAGAACCAGTGCTCTATCCACTGTACTGTACTGCCTTCTTATGCCTCTGGGCTCCAGAATGATCTATCTCCCAAATCTTTGTTTTCCTTTACCCTAGGTTAGATTAAAAAAGGGTAAGAGGGCCACATCTTCATTTTATTTGGGACCAGTTGAGGGGAAAGAGTGTATACAGTGCAGTGGATTCTTTTCCTGGTTCACAAATTGGCTCAAGGATTCTTTTCCTTACCCCATATCATGTGTGGACCAGTACAATAGACTAGGCTAGACAGTCACCAAAAGAGGGAGCTATGTGGCATGTTCTTGATAGCATGCTGGACTTGGAGTCAGGAAAAACCCAGTTTCAAATCCTGCTATCCTTAATAGCTGTGGGACTCTGCAAATCACTTCAACTTGACCTCAGTTTCTTCATCTGTAAAAATAAACTGGTTGACTTCTGGGGTCCCTTGCAGCTCTAAATCTATGTCCCTATACAGTAGCTCAAACAATGGTTTGGTGTCCTTGATTAAAAAAAAAAAAAGCTCTCTGGAAACCATCAGGATTTCCACACTGGCCTCTCTAGAGGTTGTGCTAAGTAGTCCTTAATTGGACTTAGTCACCACCACACATTAGACATTTCCAAGTGGATCTCTTATAGATGTCTCAGACTTCACCTTTCTAAAATATTACTCATTATCTTCTTTCCTTGATAAGCTCCTTTGCCAAACTTCCCTATTTCTCTTGAGGTCACCTCCATCCTTTTAGTCATCAAAGTTTACAGTCTTGCTATCATCCTCACCTCTTCCATTTCTCAAATCCTTCCTCCCCATCCAATCTGTTCACAAGTCTTGTCAATTTTCTCTCCATAGCATCTCAGATGCGTCCCCTTTCCTCCACTCACAGAGGCATCACCCTACTTCAGGTTGTTATCACTTCTCACCTGGACTGTTAGAACAGGCTGCTAAGTAGACTCCTGGCTTCTAGTCTCTGCCCTTCCCAGCCCAACTTCCACCAAAATAATCTTCCTAAAACACAAGCCAGACAATGTCTGTCTCTTCTACCTCTAAGCTAAGATACAAACTCCCCTGTTTGGCATTTAAAGCCCTTCACATTAAAGCCCTGACTCAAGCTTACCCTTCTGAGCAGAATACACACTACTTTCTCTTCCTACACTGTACGTTCCAGACAAACTGGCCTCCTTGCTAATTCCTTCTGTGCAACATTTCACTTCCCAGCCTATGCATAAGCTGTCCCCATGCCTGGAATGCACTTACTCCTTATCTCACAGAATCACAAAATGACAGAATTTTAGAGCTGGAAGGAACCTCGGCAACCATTGGGTCCAACCCGTACCTGAAAGGAATCCCCACTGTAACATACTCAATAAGAGGTCATACAGCCTCTGCTTGAAGACCTCTATTGAAGGGGAACCTGTTACCCCTCTAGGTACCTCTGTTTCTTAGAATCTCTAGCTTGCTTTAAAGCTCAGCTCATGTGGCACCTCCTACAGAAATCCTTTCTTGATCCCCTTCGTGCTTTCTCTCTCTCTTCTTCTTTATTTTTTTTTTTGGTTGGGCTATGGGGATTAAGTGACTTGCCCAAGGTCACACAGCTAGTAAGTGTTACTTGTCTGAGGCCAGAATTGAACTGAGGTCCTTCTGAATCCAGGGCTGGTGCTCTATCCACTGCAGCCCCTTCTCTCTCTTCTTCTTAAATTATCATGTGTATGTGCTAGAACGTAAGCTCCTTGAGGGCAGGAATTCTTTGTTTTGTCTTAGTGTCCCCAGTGCCAAACATAGTGATTTGTACATAATGGGTGCTTAATCAATGCTCATTGGCTTGGATTGAATTGGCTCTCTCTTGTCCGGCTCTACCTTCCTGAACTAGACTTGGCCTTTTGAGTCTACTCACACCATAGGCCCCTCTGACAGCCAAGGGCCATATTGGGGATGGGAGTGGGGGATGGGGGGGCAGGAACTTACAAAGTCACTGGGATGAGTCAGCTTGAACTGGGCTAGGAAATGTGTTCCTATGTCCCCCTCAAGGAAATAGGGAGAATGAAGTTTCATTTGTAACAAGAAAGTGAGGTTAGGCCAAAAGAACACAGTACCTGCTAAGTGGTTGAATACTGAAGCATCCTTCCCAAAGGAGCTAATGTAATTTCTTACCCTGAGGAGTTTTAGGAATTGAATAATTAATAATAATAATAATAATAATAATAATAAGGCAGTTAAGTGGCGCAGTAGATAGAGCACTGAGCTTAGAATCAGGAAAACTCATCTTCCTGAGTTCAAATCTGGCCTTAAACAAGTGCCTACGTGACCCTAGCTATGTGATCCTGGGCAAGTCACATAACCCTGTTTGCCTCAGTTTCCTCATCTGTAAAATGAGCTGGAGAAGGAAATGGCAAACCACTCCAGGATCTCTGCCAAGGAAACCCCAAATGGGATCAGGAAGAGTCGGACACAGCTGAAATGACTGAACAACAACAAACAATAACAATAATAACCCAGATTCGTATTTATGTAATTAGTGACTGGGCCTGCCCTTTAACTTCTTGGTGCTGTAGGCAACCTTCAGTGGTAGACAAAGTTTTCTCTTCTAGAAGTTCTCTATGTCTTTGAGAGCATAGTCTAGTTCCCAGTTCCTAATGTTGCTTTAAGGTTTACCAAATACTTCTGGCACCATACTCCCTATTAGATAGTGAGATTTTTAAAATTCCCATTTTACAGGTGAAGAAACTAAGGCTCAGAGAGGCAACTAATTAATTAATTAATTAAAATTTGAAAATTAATAAAATAAAAAATAACAACATGGTAAATAAGATTTTTAAAGGTTTATGAATTATTTTACATGTTTCATCTTATGTGATCCTCACAATAATCTTGTGAGATAGGTGCTATTATTATCTACATTTTACATATGAGGAACCTGAGGCTGAGAGGGAAGGTGAAGTGACTTGTCCAGGGTCACATAGTTATTAAGTTTCTGAGGCAGTATTTGAATACGGGTCTTTCTAACTCTAACTTCAACATTTTCATCTTTGTATTGCCTAGCTGCCTCAAGATGCTTCTGTTGTCAAGGAATGAATAGACAATCATCTACCATAGTTAGTCTGGGTGCTAGAAGATGGACTGAGTTCTAGGAGTCCCAGCTAGCTCTCCAGAATTTCTATGCTTCTAACTAAGCTCTAAAAGTTATTAAATAGTGCATACCTTTCCACTCAGAGATACTACTACTAGGTCTATATCCCCAAAGAGATCAAAGGAAAAGGACAGGACCCATATGCACAAAGAATATTTTAACAGCTCTTTTTTCAGTGGCAAAGAATTGGAAAATGAGGAAGTACCCAACATTGGGGAATGGTTGAATGAGTTATGGCTTATAAATGTGATGGAATACTATTGTGCTGTAAGAAATGATGAAAAGTGGCTTTAGAGAAACATGGGAAGACTTGTATATACTGATACAGAGGGAGTGAGAAGAACCCAGAGAAAAATTTACAACAATATTGTAAACACAAACAGCGTTGAAAGACTTGGGAACTCTGATCAATGCAGTGACCACTCACAATTCCAAAGGACTCTTGATGAAACATGCTACCTACCTCCTGACAGAGAGGTGAACTCAGAGTGCAGATTGAGGCATCATATTTTTGCACCTGGCCAAAGTAGGAATTTGCTTTGCTTGACTATACATGTTTATTACAGGGGGGTTGTTTTTTTCTTTATCATTGTGGAGGGAGTGGGGAGAGGAGGATTTTCATAGATTAGAAAAATAAAATTTGATAACAAAAAGGAATTCTATGCTTTCCCCACACCCGTTCATTTTCCCTTTTTTTTCTTTTAAAGGGCAGCAGCCATGGGGTCAGTTGGGGGAGACCACTTCAAGGAGCTCAGTCCAGTAGTGACACCAGAGGGAAATGTGGTGATGAGCTTCAGTTTTGACAGCTACCAGCTGGAAGAAGAAGAGCTCCAAGCCAAAGGGAACCAGGCCAAAGGGGTCCTGACTTTTATGGAGCCAGGTAATAACAATGGGGGAGTAGCCTCCATAGGCTTCTCAGGAGAGGCTCAGGGGTGGAGTCTCCCCAGGGATGGGCTAGGAATGGACTTTGAGCTGACATCACCAAAGGAGACTCAACTGCTATGAGCTGATTTAGGTGAAGCCCTGAGACAGGAGAATGAATTAAAGATTCCTTTAAACTTCTGGCAGTCTTTGATTTCATTGAGCCTTTTCCCCTTCCCATCCTAGACTGAGACATAATTGGAAATATAGCATTCAACAAACATTTACTAAGAAGTACCTAGGTGGTCTAGTGAATCAATTGCTGCACTTAGAGAGTCAGGAAGACTGAACATTCCTGGCAAGGAGACAGGGCTTCTCATGATTAGAGAATGGGAAAGGAACTTGTATTCTATAAGTTTCTCTTCTGACTTCTTTTCTGAAGACCTGTGGCTCAGGTACATGACTTCCCCAGAACTCAGGCTCTGATGGTGACTGATGTCTGTTGTGTGAAACTCCTGACCAGTAATAAAACAAAGGACTAAAATAAAAAGAAAAGCACAAAGCTTTGGAATTCTTAAGTGAGAAGTGCTATTTAAATACTAAGTGTCACCATGGTATTGAGAATGTAACTGTATTTAATGTAACATAGGATCCTTGGACTGAACGGGATATAAGGGGTCATTGAGTCCATCCCCTTGCCTTCAGATAGGTCAATAGCTCTGCCATTATAGCCAGCAGCATAGCCCCCACCAGACTTCAAGAGAAGTCAGTGGGGAGGCGATGTAGGACAATGGATTAAGCTTTGGATTTGGTATAGGAAGACCTGGATTTGAATTCCAGCTCTGCCACTTACAGACTGGAGACATGTCACATAACTATTCTGGGTCTCAGTTTCCTCATCTGTAAAATCAGGAGTCTGGACTAGATAATCTGTCTAAGTGTCCTTCTAGCTCTAATTTACGATCCTGTGAGGTTTCCCAGGCCTCTTTGGGCTTCTGTTCCAACATCTCCACAAATACCCCTTGGGATTTGGAGCTTTGGACTTGGAGCCAAGACCTAGGTTTAAAACCCAGCTCTGACAGTTACTATCTGTGATCCTTGGATAACTCACATAACCTCTTTGAGTCTCAGTTTCTTCATCTGTAAAATGGGGATAATATAACTTGTACTGTCTACCTCATAAGATTGTTGGAAGAAGGGGCAGCTAGGTGGCGCAGCGGATAGAGGCACCGACCCTGAAGTCAGGAGGACCTGAATTCAACTCTGGCCTCAGACCAAACACTTGACACTTACTAGCTGTGTGACCCTGGGCAAGTCACTTAACCCCAATTGCCTAAAAATAAAAAATGAAAAAATAGGAAGATAGTTGGAAGAAAAGTGTTTGTAATGCATGAAGTTCTAGGAGAAAAGGAAGTAGCTGTTGCTTTTTTTATGGGGCACCTAGGTGGCACAGTGGGTAGAGCTCTGTGCCTGGAGTTCAGAATCCATCCTCAGATTCTTTTTTTTTTGTTTGCTTGTTTTGTTTTTAGGCAATTGGGGTTGTGACTTGCCCAGGGTCACACAGCTAGTAAGTGTCAGGTGTTTGGTCTGAGGCCGGATTTGAACTCAGGTCCTCCTGACTTCAGGGCTGGTGTTCTATCCACTGCGCCACCTAGCTGCCCCCATCCTAAGATTCTTATTAGCTATATGACACTGGGCAAGTCATTTAGGCCTGTATGTCTCCGTTTCCTTATCTGTAAAATGGGGGTTAATAATAGCATCCACCTCCTAGGTTTGTTGTGAGGATCAAATGAGAGAATAATTGTAAGATGTTTAGCACAGTGCTTGGCACATAGTATATGTGAGATACATAGATATACATAGATATGATATTATATATATGTAAATACATATATATATATATATATATATGTTAGCTATTATTATTTTACAGAGTGATGCTGCTACCAAACTGAGCCCTTAATACATCTGCATTCCTACCCTTGGGCTGTTCCCAAGTGCTTCCTCCACCCTCCAAAATATTTAATCCTCAGTTCCTCCTGCTGCAAAAAACAAAGGAAAAAAAGTCCCTCCTTTGCTCAACTGCTGGGAGGTTTTAATTAGTTGCCTCTTGGAGAGCTCTTGGGAGACAGTGGAAATCATTTCCTATTTAGATCTACACTATTTGACACCATAATCAGGTCTCCTTAGTAACAGAGATAAAGACACTGTAGAGACAATGATGGGAAAACCACCTACCTGGTCAGTAGGCTCCCTTAAAGTGGGCAGTCCCAACCACTGGGCCAGGGGAAGAGCCAGCTGTGTTTACATACTTAGTATCAGGCCTGGCCCTCCTGCCTGTTGCTCAGTATGGTTGTTCAGGTCTTGGCTGCCTCATACTAGGCAACTTTGATCCTTTGTACATCACCAGAGGGGTAATTATGCTTCCCACTGCTTACCCCGGCTGCTCTCTTTGTCTACACCAAGAGAACTCTGGGATGCCAGCTATATTTATCCCTTAGTTCTCAGCTCAGATGCACTATTGATCCTCTGCCAGGCCCTAGGGGGGCTTTCTGCTGCACAGTCACCCAACCTAGGACCCTTCATGCCCTTCACTTACTCCCAAGTGCCTTCCAACCTTTACTGGGGCATGGCCAATTGGGATATTACCACATGCTGTTATTGAGAAAAGGCTTTTCTTATTGGTTGAGAACTCAGCATATGGGATTATAAAACACCCCCTGGCAAGTGAGGGGCTATTATTGATTAAACAAGTCATTCCAATCTTGGCTCTGGATAAGAATTATACTCGTAGAGAAACCCTGCACACCATTTCTAGGATGACAGAGTCCCCATGAAATAGCAGTGGTAGGGTGGGTGAATGATCTTGGTGAGCCACCACAAAGCCAAATGAATGCTTAGCTTTTAGGCCCATAGTAGCATCTTTCTTCTATAGCTTGTCAGTCCACTTTTGAACAGATAGGCATGATTTCGTTCATCTTACAAGTGTGGAAAACAAAAATACAAATTGTCTCATTCCCCCTAACCTCCCAGCATACACGTTCTTCTCTTATATCCTGATTATACCAAGCTCATTTCCTGTGGCATAGAGGGAAGAGAGGATGGGGGGCTGGACTTGGACATCAGGATGCTTGGGTGTGAATCTGGCATTAAATACTTACTTGCTGTGTGACCAGGGCAATCCATTTAACCTCCCCAGGCCTCAGTTCTCTCATCTGCAAAGTGGGCATAATTATACTTTTGCCTATTTTCTCTCTCTATTAGAATATAAACTCCTTGAGAAAATGAACAGTCTACTTTTCTATTTGTATCCCTAGGACTTGCACATACTAAGCACTTAATAAATGCTTTTCATTCATTCATATAGGCATGCCACAAGGTCATTGTAGAGAATGCATTTTGCAAACCTTAAAACCACTACACAAGGGACAACTAAGTGGCACAGTAGATAGAGCACCAACCCTGGAGTAAGGAGGACCGGAGCTCAAATCTAGTTTCAGACACACGCTGGGCAAGTCACTTAACCCCAATTGCCTCTCAAAAAAAACCCCTCTACACAAATTATGAGGGTGCACACTTATCTGCTCATCTGGGATGCCCTTTATTCCCCCTTCCAGACCACAGAATCGTAGACTTAAAACTGGAAGGGACCTCTGAGGTCATCTAATTCAACCTCCTCCTTTTACAAATGAGGAAACTGAGGTCCCATGAAATTATGTCACATAGGTGGCAATAGAAATGGATTTGAATTCAGGTCCTCTGACTCCAAAGTCAATGTCACCTCTCCAAATTCTCTACCTCTCTAAATTCCACCCATTTTCCAAGCCCACCTCCTTCCCAAAGTTTTCATCGATCTTCTTTTCTGAACTCTTCCAGCTCTTAAAAGTATAACGTTCAATACATATGGTCTTCTACCATCCTATTTCATGTATATTGGTGTTCTTTCCTACTAGATTGTAAGTGACTTGAGGGCAAGGCCACATCTTATTCTTCTCATGTCTTGCTTACAGAAAATGGGAAAGAGCTGGGCACATAGCTGGCATTCAGTAAACTGCTGATTTAACAAACAAAAGTAAGTTAATAGACCTGCTCTAGTCAAATCATCTATAAAACCAAGAGTTCTGGAGTCATGGATTCTTAGCCTGGCATGCAACTGTGCATACATGTGTCTACATATATCCCTATCTATACACACACACACACACATATACACACCCTCAGCTACCCCTCTATCTATCTTCTTGGATGTAAGCAGTCACAGGATGATAGAGCTGAAAGGGACCTTCAAACTCCTCTGGTCCAGTAAGTTATCTGGGCCTTTATTTGACTGAAGACGGAAAAAGGGGCCCAACCAAAGAAAAAAGTTACACAGCTAACATGGCAGAACCCTAAATTTAGAGTCATAAAGGACCTTAGAAACCATCAAGTTCAAACCCCTCCCCCATTTTAGATATGGAAAAACTGAGGTCCAGAGAGTATGAGTGACTTTCCCAAGGTCATATAGTTAGTATGTTTCTTTTTCTTTTAATTTTCTTTTTGCTTTTTTGGTGAGGCAGTTGGGGTTAAATGACCTGCCCAGGGTCACACAGCTAGTCAGTCAAATGCCTGAGGCCAGATTTGAGCTCAGGTCCTCCTGACTCTAAGGCTGGAGCTCTATGCACTGAGCTACTTAGCTGCTCCAGTTAGTATGTTTCTGAGGGAGAATTTGAACTCAGGCCTTCCTAACTCTGAGCCCCAATCCTCACTCTATCTACTGTACCTCCTAGCTGTCTCATATTTTTCTTTGTGTATCAACAAGGTAAGATGCCAGAATGTGGACAGCTAAACAAATCTGACATCCAGTTGGAATGAGGTAAAACTGTTAAGCAATTTGCAAACTTTAAAACACTACATAAACATTGACTGTTGTGAATACAGTTAGCTGCTCACTCCCACCAGGGCTCAGGTCAGTTGGGATACAAGCTTGACCTTCTCTCTCATGTGTTTGGTGTTTTAGTGACCGAGGAGCCCGAGCCTGATGACCAGTACCATGGGATATATTTTGCCATGCTGCTGGCCGGAGTGGGCTTTCTCCTGCCATACAATAGTTTTATCACAGACGTTGATTATCTGCACCACAAATACCCAGGTAAGTCCCAGCTTCCCTTTCTTAGAGCCTTTAGAGTTCTATGCTGTGTCAGCAGGGGTCACATTGGAACTGGTGTCTGGGTGTCATGTCACCCCTCCATCCATGTGGGAGGAAGGGGTTTCAGGCTGGCAGGGGCACATGTAGCTTGGATTTACTTTCTACTGTGCCCCATTCAACATCCACCCAGCTTACTGCCATATGCAGTCAAGATGAGACGAGTCATGGAATTTCACAATGGAAAGGTACCGTGGTGGACACCTTGTCCAATACTAACCATGAAATTAAGGGTACTTCAGACAGTGGCTCAGCCTTTGGTTCCTACCTGGCTTGCTGTCATGAGATCCTAGCCAGAATGTGGTGCAATGAAAAGAGTACTGAATGCAGAATCACATGACTTTGTGACCTTGAGCAAGTCACCTAATCTCCATTAGCCTCAGTTTCCCCATCTATAAAATAAGAAGATTGGACTAGAAGGCCCTTGACATCCCTTCTAGCTCTACTGCTATGATCCTACATACTTCCTGTGTGACCTTGGGCAAGTCATTTTATTTTCATCAGCCTCAAATGAAGAGGTTGGACTAAGCGGTCTCTAGGGTCCCTTCCAGCTCTGCATCTCTGGGCTTCTGTACTACTGTGTGCTGTGTGACCTTGGGCAAATTACTTAACCTTTCTGGGCCTCAGCTGCCTCAGCTGTAAAATGAGGGGTGGAAGAATTAGACAAGATTATGTCAAAAGTCCTTTAAGATCCGACTCAATGATCCTTGGTTAGCCTCGCCAGCTTTAGCCCCTTACATCCTTCTTTGTTCGAAGTTGAGCCAAGACAAAGGGTAGCCATGATAGGCATAAAATAATATAGAGACAATTTGGGATACTTCCTAATATTTCCATATTGTATCATTAAACAATTCTGTTGTCTCTAGCCCATAACTATTTTTTTGATTCTACAAGGTACTGTACTAGGGTTACAACAATGAAAAACACATTGTAAGGAGCTTACAATCTAATGGAGTAGGAGATGGTAGTGATTGAATGATAGATGTAAAGGACCGTAGAGATCAAGTCCAACACCCTCATTTTACAGATGAGGAAACTGAGACTGATGGAGTTTAGGTGACTTGTCCAGGGTCACACAGCTAATAAGTGTCTAAGGTAGAATTCAGGCCCAAGTCTTCATGACTCCAAGTCCTGCATTCCATATATTCTACTACATGTGCACAAAGGTAGAGGCAAAAGAGAGATCCAGATAAACTACATGAGGACAATTTGAGAGGGGGAAGATCACCTTCAGGTGAGGGGCATTAGAAAGAGTTTCATGGAGGAGGTGGCACCTGAAGAGAAGGAAAGATTTCAAGTTTGTGTGAAAAGGAAACAAATTATAATCATTGCAAAGGGGTGTTAGGTAAGAAGTGAGGGATGGCATGTCGGGTTTGGGGGGCAGCTACATTAAGGCTCAAATATAGAGTACATGAGGGGGAGAAATGTGAAATGAGTCTGAAAAAGTAGGTTGGAGGCCAAATGCCAGGCTGAGTAGTTTGTACCTTTTCCCAGAAGCAATAGGGAGCCACTGAAGATTTTTGAGGAGGAGAGTGATATAGTCAGAGTTGTGCTTTAGAGAGCCTTCTTTGGCAGCTATGTGAAGAATGGTTTGAAGAGAGGAGAGTCAGGGGCAGGGAGACCAGTTAGGAGTGTATTAAAATCATTCAAGTAACAGGAAGCTGAGAGTCTAATCCAGGATCATGGCAGTAAATCATTTGTTCATTGTTTGTCCTTCATTCTCAAAGAGGACAGTGACATCAAGAAGGTGATGTCATGACTAGAAAGTGAATTGGATTTAAGTAAGGTAGGGTTGTGCAGAGTCACCAGCCTCACTGTCTCCTCCAGAGCCATCTAGGTCCAGTGGCAAGATATAGATCAGGGTGACTGGAGATGGCCAAGATGCAGTCATTAACAAGTCTCAGTTTGACTTTGAGCCCATTCAGTGATTAAGGCTAGGTAGGAAATGAGGCAAAGAATGGCCTCTTTCACCTAGTCAAAAAACAAAAACTAAAATCAGCCTTGGATGGGAAAACCCTCAGGGTTTCTGCCCAAAAAGGAAACAATTGCTCTTTATATTTACTCTGAGCCATCAGAGCCCAAGCAATGGCCAAGTGAGGCTTGAGCTGGGACCTATTGTTGGCCAATCAATGAAAGCCAGAGTGATTTGGGTTTAAGGCATGGTCCTTTAAAAAGAAATCTAGCCTGTAACCCCCAAGATGTCTTGTGAGTTTTCAGCAATTAAAATTTATATTCGTTTGGGCAGAGCACCCTCAGGTAAGGGTATGATTTCTTATGTGAATGGAGGGAGAGGAGAGAGGGAAGGAGAGGAAAGAGGGAAGGAAGGAAGGAAGGAAGGAAGGAAGGAAGGAAGGAAGGAAGGAAGGAAGGAAGGAAGGAAGGAAGGAAGGAAGGAAGGAAGGAAGGAAGGAAGGAAGGAAGGAAGGAAAGAAGGAAGGAAGGAAGGAAAGAGTGAGCTTCATTGCCCACCTGGAACTAGCAAGTTGGGTCTCCAGTGGAGCAGCTACTACTACTCACAGAGTGTTGATTTTTGTTTGTCCTTCATTCTCAAAGAGAATGCATCAGGAAGGTGATGTCATGACTTGCAAGGGAATTGGATTTAAGTGAGAGAGGGCTGTTCAAAGTCACCTGCCTCACTCTCTCCTCCAGGGCCATCTAGGTCAGTGAATAGAAAAAAAGATAAGGATGAAAGGGACATGATGGAGATAAGAGCAGAGTTTGGCAGCAGATTAGATGTGAGGGATTAGAGAAGGCTAAGAATGAAGACAGCTTTGAGGTTTTGAGCTTAGGTGACCAGGAAGACAGTGGTAACATGAGCAGAAACAGGGAAGTGGGGAGGAGGGACAGATTTGGAGGGGAAGATGATTAGGAGTTCAGTTTTAGAAATGTTGAGTTTGTGATGGGGCATCTAGGTGGAGGTGTCCAACAGGCAGCTGCTGATGCCAACCTGGGATTCAGGAGAGAGACTGGAGTTGGCCATTTAGTCAAATACACTGGACAGATTATTGTAACCATGGGACAGGAGGAGGAAGATGAGCCAGTGAAGGAGTAGTCAGACAGGTGAGAGGAGAACCCAGAGAGAATGGCGTTATCTGTTTCCTTCAATCAAATGATTTGTTTGTTATTAATTTGTTAATTAAGTTATATTTATATATAATTTGTTAATTAATTAAATTGCTAATTAATGTATCTCTGCTCCTGAGACCCTGGGCACTGAGGAGAGGAACAGGGTTTGAGACTGGTGAGAATCAAACCCTTTCAAGGGTCTAGATGTAAACTACTGACCTAGGAGGCAAACTGGGATCTGTCAGAACTCTTTTAGCTCCTGAGTCCTGTGATTTTTTTTAGTTTTGGTTCTAGATGCCCAGCTAGGTGGCAGAGTGAATACAGTGCCAGGCTTAGAGTCAGGAAAGCCAAGTTCAAATCCAGCCTTAGACATTTACTAGCTGTGTGACCCTGAGCAAGTCACTTAACCCTGTTTGCCTCCATTTCCTCATCAGTAAAATGGGCTGGAGAAGGAAACAGCAAACCATTTCCTTACAGTATCTTTGCCAAGAAAACCTCAAATAGGGTCAGAAAGAGTCAGATGCAACTGCAAATGACCAAACATAAGCCTGAAGGCCCAGCAGTGATGCCCTCCTGTTTGCCGGGATGAGGATATGAAAATGTAGGACATTTGGCATGTAAATCTGTGATCTATGGAAGTTTGCAGGTTAGCATTGGCTGATTTATCCAGGAGGGACAACCTAAAACTCAAAAACCTTATAAATAAGCAAGCCCATGCAAGCATAGAGGGGGAAAAACTACTCATTATGTAGATAGGAAAGATGGTGGTAACTTTTACTGTCATCCTCGTACCTGGGGAGGGTGCTTTCCATTAAACATAACTGGAGAATAATAAGAGCTCATGGCCCTTCAGTAATATGGCCCTTCAAATAGCTCAGGTGTCTAGAGGGTGGCATTAGGGAGGGCAAAGTCATGGGTATAGTTGCTCCCAGAGACCCAGATAGTTTTGCTTCGCTACTTTAAAACCTGTCCTGTGCCTTTGGTCCTGAGAAGAACAAGGGGACAGGCTGGAAGTGGGTCAGGGCAAAACCCATCACCAGGATTAAGAATCCACTTCATAGCAACCAGCTTTTTAGCAATGACTCCTCTTCTCAGCACCCAGGGTCTCAGAAGCAGAGATGGAGAAGTAAATGATTTATTCGATGTAGACAAATACTTCTCTCTGGGTTTCCTTCCTACCTGTCTGACTGATCCTTCTGTGTCTCCTTTATTGGTTCATCTTCCTCCTCCTGTCCCATGGTTACAATGATCAGAGAGATAAATTGATAAGACTGGGTCATTTCTAAAACAAACTGGAATATATCCATCTAGGTAAGAGTCACCTTTGGGAGACTGTACACTTATTCCAATGGGAGAATACCATTGCTTAAACCATTAGGGAACTGCTCATTGAGAAAAGTCACCGAAGGCAACTTACAAGCCACATATAGCAGTCACTCTCTTCACTTTATCGTCAAGCTTTCTTTGTCACATCTCCCTCTCCAAACAGCCTCATATCCCCCATATTGGTCACCAGAATGAACTCTGAGTGACTGGATTCTTTCCAAAAATCAAATCCATCCTCAAAAGATGAAGCTTTGCCACCACTGAAGATATTGCAAAGAGTGGCAAGTAGGTGGCAGAGTGGATAGTGTGCTAGACTTGAAAGTGAGTTTAAATCCTCATTCAGACATTCGTTATTTGTGTGAACCTTGGGCAAATCTCTTAACCTCACTCACCCTCACAAACCCTGGGGGGACTATGGAAAAATAGGTACATTAATGCATTGTTTATGGAGCTGTGAACTGGTCCAGACATTCTGGAAAACAATTTGGAACTATGCCCAAAAAACTATTAAGCTTTGACCCACGAAAGAAACGAGAATATTTTTGTACCTATAT